GTGTGAAGGTGAGGGATTATAATATAACGTACGGTCCAGATGTTTTATATCTATATACTCCTTCGTCTTAAAGAATACGAGTCAAATGCACCTACACCGCCACGTCAGCATAACCGTACTAAACCGGCTGTAACCGGTAAAAGGGTACACACAAAGAGAAGGTGATAAAAATGAAGAATATAAAAATAGCAAAGCAATTAAGCTTTTAAAAAGGTGGAAAGTAACCAATCGCAACCAACCGAGGGCTCTTAATTCCTTTCTCATTTTTGCTTAATAATCAAATTATTAGAATTTCAAAACCAATAATGATAAAAAAGAAACAAAATAAGCTGGGGCTGGATTTGTCACCAAATCTAACCCGCTAAAATCTCAAGTCAAAGATTTATATTTATACAGAGTTGTCCGGATCCGATGGGTATACGACCCAGTTTTAAGGAAATAGAAACAAGATTCGGGCAAGGCCCAAGTCAACCCCGCAAAAGATTGAGTCAACAGATGCGGAGCTAACGAACTGGGAACGAGTCACATATGCGGTTATCACAGTCAGCGTAGCGGGATTCGCGGAGAATATGCCAAGAACGTGTCCGAGATACGCGGAACCGCCCCGGAGAAGTGGAGCTGGATGAACGAGCTAAGCCGAGCTATAAATACTAGGAGTCCGAGAAGATTTTGCCAACTTTGACTTACGCGAGAGGTAGAACACTATATTTCAGCTAGTAATACGTCTCATTCAAGACCACATTGTATATTCGATTCATATCAATATAAATCCAACTCCTCTTTACTCTTCTTTTAATCGTTGAGCTTATAGACATTTCTTAGGACCAAAGTTTCTTTTCCGAATTCACATACAAATACTTAGTGCGGAATTCAACTTCCACATTTGGCGCCGTCTAAGGGGAAGAAATAGATACGTCTAGCACAGAAGTTCGACCTAAGATCTGCTAAAGAAGAGATGGATAAATCAAAGTCCGCCACGCCGAAGGCCAGCGTCGCACCGGCTGCGACTCCCCAGAGTCAAGAACCATCTGGATCTCAGCCGCGAGACCAGGTCAGAACCGGAACCAACGTCACGGTCTAGTGGAAAACTGTCCAACGGCAGCAGGCTAGGCCGACCAACGCCCTACAGCGAAAGTGACAGCCTTGGCCGCCGCCGCGATGATCCCAGCGTCCTCACGAGGCGTGTGGATAAGAAACCAGGATGTCTCCGCAGAAAATGTGTCCGGAGATGTCTAGAACGCGCATGTATTTCAACCTCCGCCGGGATGAAAGAGCGGACACGAGACGAGATGACCGAGATCCGTCGACTGCTTTCCACACTGGTGGAAAAAGCACAGACAGAGGACATGACGGTCAGAACTGTCCAGGTCCGACTCGAGCAACAAGAGAAAACTTTCCTGGCCCAGATGCGGGAAATCTCTAAGTCGGTCGTCCACCAAACCCAGCTCCAAAAGGTTGGCAGAGAGGATAGCACTCCTCCCTGACACACGACCCCTCAGTCGCGGTTAGATTTTTCAGGGTCTACGCTACCCCTACTAACACGAGCACATACCATGTCTTCAACCCGCGCATCGGCTCGTCGATTCTTACCATAGATATCCCCGGTCCGAGCTCGCGCAACAACTCCATGAGAGTTAACGAACAGCCTCTTCCACCTCTACCACGCGTGGAGAGTGCCCAAAACGCTTCTTCTGGGGAGGCGGGGGCTACACCTCAGACTGGAACGTCTTCAGCCCTCCAGGACACCGTGGAATTTGCCGACAAT